TAGAAACATTGTTATATGGCATATGTGGATTTCTCTGAGGCCACGAGAGAAATACAAAATGTTGGGGGAAAAGCCTACCTTTTTTCCTAGATCCTCTTTTAATGTGTGTTTTGCCTCTGTGTATCTTTAAACAGTCCTTTTCTATAGCAGAAGTGTAATCAAGTATTTTGACAAGTTGTGCATAACTGGACTTTATCATTTTGCTCCTATTATTTCCTGGAAGTTCCTACATTCTCTGTTCAAGGAGATAAAGCAGTTTCCATAGCCTAATGCTAGTGCTACTGGCATTGTATAAAACAATATGTGGGGGGAGTCCTGCAGCTCATCACATCCTGGAAGGAGAGTAGTCCTGGTCATTTGTACACAGTCTGTCTATGCACAAGGCTACTAATACTAACCTTACAGTACAAAGGATTTTTCTTCACTAAAGTGGAAGCTTGGAGAGATTTCCTGGAAGAAAGTGATGTTCAGAATGGGACCATCAAAACAGTTTCTGAGAAATCTGCTGCAGCTGAGTTCTCTTCGCAGACGCTCATTCCAAATCTGATCAAGAGTATTCTGCTTTACTTTTGATTGTGGAGGGATGTCTGCAAATCTCTACAGGTTAAACAAAAATGTCGTTCATAATCACATTTTATCAGTAGTAAGACATAGATAGCCTTTAAATCACAATGTGTATGTTTTCCTCAGTAAAACCTAAAAAAAAAAAAATGATTTTTTTTTCAGTTGTAAAATGGGTGATTGAGAAAACAGATGCTATTTCTGCACTGAATTACTGTTAATATGGCTACGTTTAATAGAAGGTGCCAGCATTGACTAAAATGTCAGTCACTTCAATAGGCCATCAGTTAAGGCTGTAAGTAGGAACATCCTCATTTAGAGAAAAATTCTTAGTTTAAACCACAGGATTTTTTTTTAAATGCTGTAGTAGTAAGATAAACTGAAACTCCTCACCCCGCAATTCTGTTACTCCAAACTCTGAGTTTTACACTGGGTAAAGAGCAAAAATACAGTCAAAAAATTCAGGGAAAATATCCAGGGTCCAAGTCTCACAGTAGACCTTCAGTAGGGTGGAGATTTCCAGAGCTTCCTCCAGCTGCCTGTCCCCCAAAAGATAAAACACATGCCAATCCTATCTGTCTGGATCATGCCATTGCTCAGCAGTGGCCTTGTCTTATCCCCAACAAAATCCAATTTTAAGGCAACACAGTGATCAAAGGCCTTGGCTGTGCATGTGCTGAGTCAACTTTTCTTCAGCTGCTTCACATCACTCAGATAATATCAACTGATCAGACAACATTGAAGAATCTGTACTTATTTCTTTCTGCTGTGCTGAAATTCCTTGAAGTGCTGCTAAGTTAGTACAAATACACTTGAGTTTTAGTAGAAAAGTCTAGTATTGCTTTTTGTTCTCTGGGAATAATAGGACACCATATATGAAAATCATTATGAACCTGTAAGAAGGAACTCTTCCTAATTCTTGCCATATAGTAATTTTCCCCATGTAAAATTTTTAACAGAAATTGTTCGTGAATAAGGGTGTGAAGGCTGTGTTAGGAACTGTGATAAGAATCAAGTCTATTATAAGAACAGACAGTAGAACACCCTTTAAAATAAAAATAAGTGTGCAGTGCCAGGTGATTATGGCTGAGCTTTTTCTTTCTGCTAGCCTTTCATTTGCTTTTTTTTTTTTTTTTTCCCCTATGCACTGTACTTAAAAGCTACATGTGGTGGAATTGTTTGTACTGATCTGTGAACTGTAAAGAGAACATTTGCTATATCTTCTTTTTTTTTGTAAAAATCAGATATGAAATAGCATGCACATTGTTAAAGTAACTGGTGTTAAACTGTATTTACCTGTTATTAAAGCCTAATGAGATAGAAAAAGAACCTTTAAAAACCCCTCTTATTAATAGAAATAAATCTGATTTAGGACTTCATCACTGGAGGGTTGGAGGGAACTTCCATCAGGTACCTATACCATAAAAACTGATCAGTAGGTGAGTCTTGGCTGGGAATAATTACAGGGTGCTACCTTAGAGATAACAGAGGTCAGGAATAGTGTTGTGAAGCTGTCAAGGCTGCACTGTCGATAATTATTTTTTGATTCTTAGCTTAGGTGACCAAGTGTTATACTGGAAAAGATGTTACCTCGACAACATTTTCTACCATACTGTGTTAACAACAAAAGTGTGGCCCAAATTTAGTTCAGTACTGTTGAGAAAAAAGCTTTCCTGTGGTTGTTCTGCCATTCAGAACTGCAGGAGCAAAGTGGTGTGCTTGTTTGATGGGTACTTTGTCACCAGTTAGAAACTCTTTAATTTCCATTTCATAGAATCATAAAATGGTTTGATTTGGAAGGGACCTTAAAGATCATTTAGTTCCAACCCCCTTGCCATGGTCAGGGACACCTTCCACAACACCAGGTAGCTATCTAATACACTATTTAAGCTGGTCTGACAAGCTCTTCCACCACAGAACTCTCGGAAGAGCAGGAGAGGCTGAGTCCAGCAAGGCTTTACCCTAGCATTGGTCGTCAGAAGCTTACTTGGTAAGAGTGGTAAGTGGGGTCCCCACAGCAGCCACAGACTGTGAAAATGTGGGATTTGGAAATGATGGATTGTGAGAAACAGGTTATCCTAAGACTGATGGGACTTCTTTGTGAGTTATTTATTCTGCTTTCTAATGTGTTTTGAGATGTACTGGGAAGGTGCATAGTAGGTAAGGATTTCTGAATGGAAGATGCTGTTGGTAGATACAGATTATTGTTACATGGATAACAAGAAAAATAAGTTTTAGACTAAATAATAATTGGAGACCTATATTACTTTTACCTAATTATGGTATCCCTCAAGTTTATTTTGTTGTTTTCATACTTCTTGGAAAAACCTTATCCTCTTACTCTCTGAAGTACTAGAAGGGATGAAGTTTACTTGTGAATAAAAACACAGGTATCCCATATCTGATTTTCAAGAACTGCTGAAGGGCAGGCTGCAGGCTAGCAGCATAATAACATCATGCAGATTCATTTCACCTCACTTTATTATGTGTTTTATCCTCAATGAAATCGTTTTATAAGGTCATCAAGATAGCTATGCATACATTAACCACATTTAACATGGTACACTTACAAACATATTATAAGCAAAGTTATTTCTATTTCCAGTACTGATTTTGATGAAATCTACACTGTGACTTCAGTGAACTAGCCATGTTCAAGAACTAGTGAGCTGTGATGTCTGCTGTGTTGCAGAACGTTGCATATTCTCTTTTGATGGATAAACAGGCTGGAAAAGCCTGACTTTATTTGCCAAGGGAATTCTTTTGGATCAGATACTGTTTATAGTAAGTATGACACATCTGAAGGACAGTGTTCACAATTCAGTGAGGATGTTTTTTTGTTGAGTATCGGTTAGTGTCTGTGCTGAAGTGACAGGTTAACCATGATACAGGCAGGCACTGCAAAATTGTCTTTAAATCTTTCTGCCAATTAATCTCAATACAGATTTCTTGTTCTTGCATTGCCTTTCTTCCCAGGGGTGAATGGACAGTATGCAAAATTGTGATGCGTTTTTCCAATAACCACAAGTATGCAAAGTTTAACAGCTCTGAAGGATCCCAAAGTTTTTGAGCAGATACAAATCTAGTATACTGAACGCTGAATAGTAATGCACTGAGCTATTAGATAGTAGTCCATGCTGGGGTGTTTTTAAAAGGAGTTCTAGCTAATTTGCCTGATTTTTTGTTTATCTGACATTTGGAAAATCAGGTTACTTTGATGTGAAACAAGGTAAGGGAGATGTTTCAGATGACAGTAACAAGCCCACTGAACGAACTTTTCTCTACCTGGGAATTATGTTTCACTCAGCTGATCCAGAAGCATCCATGCCAGGAGTTTCAGAACTTGATGTTTCAGGTACCCAGCTTACAAGACAGCTGAAAATCACTTTGCTCTGAGTTCAGTGTGGAGAAACGTTCTCCTCATTTGATCTGCACCAGAAAAATCAAATAAAAGAAAAAAAGCCAGGCTTTGTAGGTGAAGCTTGCACCCTGGAGATGCAAAATGGGATTTTATTCAACAGCAGATCTCCTACTGTTGAAAAGTTGTTGAAGATGGGAATGTCTTTCTGTAAGTGAATGTAAGTGAAACTAAAGCCGATTTTAAGATCGTTAGCTCCAGTGATTTTTGTTAAACTATGATTTCTTGTATTGGGTCCACATCCCCTATTGTGTTGCTGGGGGGGTCCAGGTATAAAACTTTTGTCGGCACTTTTTTTATCTTGCAGCCAGCATATGATACTTCGTGCATACAGTCAGTAATACAGAGAGACTCATGGGTTAGAGCAGTTACTAGAGCACTCCGCAAACAGCTGGTACCTCGTGGGTCATCCTTATCCCAGGCGCTCACGTGTTGTTGCATCTTCACCACGCTTTGTAAATGCGGACCAATTAATTCCCATGATACCCCGGTGGGAGGGTATGTAAACAAGTGCAAGGACGGCGACTCGCTATAAACCTGGGGTGCCGGGGAAGGCGGTGGGTCCCGCCAGCTGTGCCAGCGGCGAAGCAGCCGGAGCAGCCGAAGCAGCCGAAGCAGGGGGCGCGGTGGTCGCAGACTCTTGGCTGCGCTCATTCACCTACCCCAACCCGCGGAGCCGTGCGCGCCCGCGGAGCTCGGCGCTTGGCGCTGCCCGCGAGGGGGCGGCGAAGCAGCCCCGGGGCGGGAGAGGGAAAGGAAGAGAAGGGAGGGTAGGAAGGGAAGGGAAGGGAGGCGGGCGGCGAGCGCGGCCGGAGCAAAGTTTCTGCCTGCGCAGGTGCTCGCCGATTCGGTGGCTCCGAGACGGAGCGCTGCGCCGCTCTGCTCGCTGCCCGGGCTGACAGTATGAGGGAGCAGCTCTCGTGTGTGGGCACCAGGCAGCGGAGCATGGACCCACTAGAGCTAGCTGTTAGCCCAGTGAAACGCTTGCGAGCTCAGTGCGCCTTTCCCTGTCTCTTCGCAGAGGAGGCCTACCAAAAACTGGCCAGCGAGACCCTGGAGGAACTGGACTGGTGCCTCGACCAGCTGGAGACCCTGCAGACCAGGCACTCCGTCAGCGAAATGGCTTCGAACAAGGTGGGAGCCCCCGGCCCCGGCTGTTCCGTGTGCGGGGTGGGGGGGAAGGCGGACCGCAGACGCAGCCCAGGGGGTCCCCCGTCGCGCAGCCCGGGTCGGCAGGAGGGGGCTCGTTAAACGGGGCAGCACCGAGCTGAGGAGCTTGCCGCGGGAGGTGACAGGCTCCCTGTGCGCAGCCGGGTGCAGGGGCGGGCTTTTGCTGTGCTTTATGCAGTTTTCTCCAGTTTCACAAGTTGTGAAACAAGTTGTGATGCAGATCGTGACAAGATGCACCGTTCCCCTCTGTGTCTCGATTTAAAACCAGGAGGACATCGTTTTGGGGGGCTTGTGGTAATCCTGTCACTTGCTCTTTCTTTTCACTGCATCCCATTCATAACTAGGGATTGCTCCTAGAAAACGGTGTAGAAAGTAGCATCAAAAAGGTGATATAGTTCTTGATCCAAGGGGAGCTTCAGGCTAAGTCTTAGCTGCAAACAGTAATGTTAACAGTATTTGCTGTAAAAGAACACGCTCAGAAACGACAGGCCATCACAGTAGTCACGATAGGTGCCCAGACCCAGAGGTGTGTTTCTGAGAGTGCGCCTTTGCTGTCAGCTGAGGGTGCGTGCTAGCCAGGGACTGTGTGCTGGTATCTGCTGTGATCTCTGTGTTTTGCAGTCTGAAATATGAATTTGCACGTGGTCCATTCGTAAGTACACTTTATTTCTTGATTTTGGTTTGCAAACCATATGTTGCTATGTTCCTGAAGGTAATTTTTAAAGCTGAACTAATAAACCTGGTGCCTTGCTTCATAATTTAATTTTTATTTGTCGTCAACTGAGTATTTGTGGAGCTACATGCTCAATAAGAGCCAAAAAGAAAGTTTTAATAGGCTGGTTTTGCCTGTCTTAAGTCTGCAGAAGCAGCCGATAATCTATATTTTAGAACCTTTTAACCATTTTGGTTCCAATTAGTATGTTTTGTAAAGTCAGAAAATAATCATAAAATCGTAAAAAAGTTCCGGTTGGAAGGGACCTTAAAACTCACCTAGTTCCAAGCCCCTGCCACAGGCAATGGCATCTTCCACTATACTAGGTTGCTCAAAAGCCCCGTCTAACCTGGACTTGAACACTGTCAGGGAGGGGGCAGCCACAGCTTCTCCAGGAAGCCTGTTCCAGTGTCTTAACACCCTCATGGTCAAAAATTTATTCTTATTATCTAATCTAAATAATAGATAGTTTTGTCTCAGTTTATGCCTTCATAAAATTCTGCTATCTTGCTTTGACTGCCCTTACCAAATATCTACTGTTTTAAGTCCATGTTTAACTATGTGAGAAAGATGTGAGGTGTTTGCCCTTTTGTTTGGTTTAGTACCATAATATAATAACCCTTCTGCTTTTCTTCTATTTAGAAACATTTAGCAGCAATTAAATTGCTGCTTTAAGACTTACCTACCTGGCACTGGCCTCTTCTCAGAACTGTGTTCTCAGTTTTTATTGCCAGGTTGAAAAATTTCATTATTCAGGGCATATTGTATATGTACCTGCAAGTTACAAAGTCAAGAATTTAGGAGTCTCTCTGTTTTTAGCACTGTTTGAATCTAGGGACTTTGTTTTCAAATGGAGTGAGATCAGACCTACATGTAGAGCCTGATCTTTCCTTGCTAACAAGTTTAACGCCTATCAGTTCCCTCACTTGTGGTGTCTGTGAAGCCATTATTTCACAAGAACTTTTTTTCAAGGGTTTATTTATTATGTCTGTATAACAGATAGGTAGTCCGTTTTATGAACAATGAAGGCGAGCTGGTTTTAGGTAAGATAAACTAATCACAAATCTATGTGTCTTAAGTTTTGCCAAGTATATTCAGATTTTTACCTGAAGAGGATCTGTTTTTAGAATAAAACATGGCAACTGCTTTGCATCGTAAAATAAACACAAAGGTGCTACATCTGATACTATGTTTTGTTTGTATTTGTTTGAACTAGTTAAAGAATTGTTTTGCCATAGGTTACAAGATAAACATTCTTCACACGTTTATTCAAATGAAAAAGAAAATGTGATTCAAAAAAAGCTTTTCATCTTGTTTCCAACATAAGATCATGCAGACAAGGGATCGACGCGGGATGCACAGCAAGCCTAGTTGTCGTAGTTAATTTAAAGGCAAATAAGAATGATGCCAAGCTTTACATTGGAACTGAACTTTTTTTTTTTTTTTTTTTGCATTGCAGTAACTTTTATATTGCCTCAGTCTGCTTGATGTATCAAATATGGATGTATATGTCTAAAGCACTTCATTGTTATTTAGTGTTTCGTGTTGCAATATTTAGGAAGAGCACGGAATTACAATATTGGAAAGTAATAGCTGCTGTTTGGTTTTGCAGGTCATACTTACTTCTTAAGGTAAACTTTTACCCCCCCTGTTTGGGGGAGTCTGTACCCTTGTATATAAATCTGTGACATTTTTCAGTGGTTTTGTTTGTTTGGGATTTTTTTAAGAAATTAGGAGAAGTAAACCAGTGCCAGTAACCTACTGTGAGCAGTCCTGAATATAAACCATCAAGTCTGTATACTAATGTGAGAGAATTTAATGCCAGAGGATGTTAATTGTAGGTGTGTAACAGGTTGTTCTAAATGATTTTATTTCTGGTTGTTCTGACCTGGTATTAATACAACACCTCGTGTTGTAATATAAATGTGAACTGTGACATCTCAGTGAGGCATATGTATAAACTATATTATTTTAGTTTATAGAGAAACTGAAGGAGAGAAACTTTGGTAAAGAATGAGGACATAGACTTCAGTACGGCAGTGAATATTCCAGAGTACCCAGTTCTCTATCCTCAGAGAAAGTCTTGTTAAATCAGATAAGAAAAGCAGGAAAAGTGGTGTTATTGGTCTAGAACATGGCTTCTCGCCTTGTCTCCCCCATTCCCTTTCTCTGGGTTTCACTAAGAACTAGCCTGCATCATTGAGGATTTTCTTGTTTTGTTTCCCAGCCCATCCTCTCAGGTACTTCCCTTATTTATCTCCCCCTCCTTTTATTTATGTATAACAACATTTTAATTAGTGTTAGTTTTCCTTATAGATGTGAATAGGTGAGAGGCATAAGGGGTGATGCCAGAATTCAGCTCTGCACTAGGTAAGATCTTTTGCCCCTTATGCAAAGGCTGCCATAGTACAGGGAAAAAAAAATCCAGGGAGGAAACAGGACTGGGTGTCCTGAACACCTGAAGTAGGCTAGGGAGTGATCCCTATCTCCAGTTCCTCTCTGTGCAGTGAGTAGGCAGTATGAGCCATTGACTGCATCTGTGTGGAATCCCCTTACTGTTAGTAATGCCTGCATAGGACTTGCGTTAGCATATCCCAGTTGAAGGGTATTTATTTTGTTTAAATGCCCCTTGCTCTCAGTTAGCAGTAGTCTGACATGTCAGCTCAAAGCTTTACATGACAAGTGGGATGAAGCAGGTACACAAGAAGATCCTTCTTTTCCCCATTTAAAATTGCTTGAAGCAGTAGGCTTGGGGTACTCTTAGCAGCCTCTGGATAAGCCCCAGCATGTTGTGACATTAAGTAAAACCCCAAAATCATTTGAAAACATGCCCTAGGTTGGTACTGTGGGAAGCAAGCCACAGTGCTTAGCTACTGAATTTATACCAGGATAACTGCAATATCCAAATGATGTCCCCTTTCCCAGCCATCCCTCTGATAAGATTTCAAAGTGTGTGAAACCATTGCAAGTGTAGTAAATGGTGGATAGGTCTGTGATGCACCTGTTGGCATAGCTCATAAACAAATCTGATTTCAAAAAGACATAGTATTTAAAAGTATTAGAATTTGTTATAATATTGTTATATTTGTAATACTTGGTGTTTTCTTAAATTACCAGCTTCTCGAATTGGGTATTTACAAGAGAATCCTGGCTTCTTTTTAGAAGCAGAAGTTTCTGAAAACTTTATGATTTTTCTATACCATGTACTGCTAGTATAGTCTAACATCAGTGGACTGTAGCTTTATTGTGTTTTTCTGCCTGATGTTTACTTGAGCAGAAATAAATTCATGTTGGGAAAATATAAGATTCCAAGGCATAATTGTATGCCTCTGTTTAACAGTTGTGATTTCCAGAGATGCTAACTCGTATCAGTTTCTGCTAAACTGAATTGTGTGTAGTTGAAAAACAGATTTTAAGTGGGTCCTAGCTTGCTGATTGTGATTTCTAACATAGGTACCCATTGATACACTTGCACAAAGATTTTCTGAAGATATTGAGGCTGCAGAGTAATGTTTTGCATTTTTTAAATAATTTGCCTTTTTTAATGACTAACATTCCCTCCTCCCCCTTTCTCTTTCCTATCAAACAAGATTAAAGTAAAAATGAATAGATTTTAAGTTGTCTGGGATAATAACTATCTTCTTCTAATATGTCGTTTGACAGTACCAAGTTTAAGTCCCTGATTCTGGATCGGAGAGCTATTCTTAGGCAGACAATAAATGAAGAATGCCAATAATAAAGAAGTAGCAACCACTTTCTGCTGGACAACATTAATTGTAGATTAGTCAAACATGAAGGCATACTTATAATGAAACCGATGTGCAAGAGTATCACTTCTGTCATCATGTGCAAACATCTCTAGTGTGTTGCTTTTGTGTGTCTGAGTATCTGATTTTAGACATGCAAAAAGTTTCAATTCCATCTTGCTTTTGTTTTGGTTTTAAGTCTACTGCAGATGACTGCATTTTTGCAGGGTTTGCTGAAAAACAGTAATGAGGAAGAATTTGGAAAAAGTATGGGGTATTTATTTCCCACCACAAACTTAGGTGAACGCCTGTTAGCCAGAAAGCTTTCTTTTTTTTTTTGTATCAAAGGTAAGAAAATCAGGTTTTATCCAGTTAGACCATGTTAACTGTGGAATTTCCTAAGTATAAACTAACTTTGGTTATCCAGCTTGCATGCCAGTATGTGCAAATGCTCACTGGTTAAAGCAGAAGTATTTACAAACAGTCATTAGTTCTGGTTACTATTA